AATGTTCTTTGCGTAGTGTTAATGTATAAATGGAAGTTTTATACGAAGCAGAACCTTTTTTTTTAAGGTTTCGTACCGTAGAAGGGAAAAAGATAATGATATGCTCATTTCATTGTCCGTCTGTATTTCTTTTATTATATTTTTTGTCAAGAAAGCGTGAAGGTATTGATTTGTAACTATTAGCTTCAAATTATATATATATATATATACGTATATATATTATATTCTACCACATTCACACAACGCCATCTAGTCCCAAACTAAGCAGAACTTGTACTATGGGTACCAGACAATTGATATAAATACATATATACTTGTTTTTTTAAATACATACATATTATACATAGAAACACCCAGACCAAATCAAACATTAAATGTTCATGCACACAAATGCCTGACTTGAGCGGGAATCGAACCCGCGACCTTTGAAATAGCAGTCCGTTACACAAACCACTATGCCATCCGGTCGTCATTCATCTATCTCTGGTCTTAAACTATTTGAGCTTCGTATTTTAACTATTCTAACACTGCCTAGGTAAATCAAAACCTATAGGGTATATCCCAATTAACTAGAGTCAAAAAATATCGCAAGAAGCAAGTCTTTAAATACTAGTAAATAAAAAATTCCAAAAATAGTTTAGTTTTTGTCATATTTCCTAAAAAAAAACTTGGAAATCAGAAACTTATATTTTCAATTGTAAATTGTAAATATGCTAAGCGACGCGTAACCTGTCATTGCGCAATATAGAATCAGTAACTTCTACGTAGTTTAGTAAATTATGTCACCGGATATTGCACGAATATTCTCTCAATATCATAGCATTTACACAGAAGAATATTCAACATTGAAAAAGTCTTCTGCATTAATCTCCCTCACATACTCTCTCACACACACATGTGTACATTGTCGCAATTTACAAAAAGAGGTTCATTAACACACAACTCTTACTTTATAAAATTTGGCCTCATAATGTTTACTTTTGTAAATTATACTTAGATATATTAGACTAGTTTCTAATTAATTTTTGAGGGAAGTGTCGCCATATGCTGAAACACAGGTCTTACCTAGTTCCTTGGTGGATACTGTTAGTAGCTCTTTTGTCCTACAACATTTTTCTGGTAATATAGCTGTTATTATTATTAACCGTGTCCTGGTCCAGGTAACATATACAGAAGCACATGTTTCAGGACATTTAAAATAAAAAAAAATTCGCTAATAATATTTTATTATTTATGCCGCCATTTGAGGCCATTAAGACAGCGAGCGGGCGCGGGAACAATGAAGGCAACTTATATTGCATAGCCCGGCCGTAACTATTTAAAGTTTAGTCATAAATTTAAATATGAATATGTCGTTTGACTCAAGCGCCAAGCAGCTTTTGAATAATCAGCCTTCGTTACACTTAAGAATAGTATTTTCGTTTGGAATTTTACCGTGGCATAATGGTTCGTCCGTGGTTCTTCTCGTTAGACCCCAGCTAGGGTCTCGGGGTCAATGGTTGATTTTGAGAAAATGTATATAAATATTCACGACGATACGAGAATTTTCATTGCGCAATGCAGAACCAGTAATTTCTACATAGATTAGTTCATCATCATCATCTAAAGACGCCTACAACAACCGGTCCTGTGCCGCCCGCATTCAATGGCTTTCCGTTACCTTCACCAGGTCGTCGGATCACCTTGTGATGGGCCTACCACGCTGCGTTTTCCTGCGTTTTCGATTAGTTCGTCTTCGTTATTTTATGTTGAGGAATGTACCTTACGTGGAACCAGGATCTCACAGAGAACTGGTGTTAAGCAAACCTTCAGTTGCTTTTCACCAGTGAGTGAGGTTGTTGAAGCCCGTATCCTCTCCCCCTAATTCTGAGGGACCTGTTACTCCTGAGTTGCAGGTGTTCATGCCAGTCTGCTGTTTTGCCCCCTATATCATAAAAAATAAATATTCGTCCTGTGCTTTTAACATTCTTCACTTATTTTTTATGACGCACTATTCTCAGTTCTATCTTAAACATAAATAGCCTTCACTGCCTCAGTGGTGCAGTGGTAGCGTATGCGACTGCTGTGCTGAGGTCTCGGGTTAGATTCCCGGGTCAGACCAAATGTTTGTATAATCTGAAAATATTTCTTTCGGTGTTTTCTATTTAGTATATGAATGTATTTAATTTCCTAAAAAAGTATCTAAGTATTCTATCAGTCAATCTAGATTTTATGGTACAAGCTCTGCTTAGTTTGAAACTAGATGGCGTTGTGTATCAGATGTCCGAAAATATTATTAAAATATATTATTATATATACCTTTAAAAAAACAATCAAAAATATGCATGCAAATGCCTGACTGGAATGGAACGTCAATGATTTAAAATAAAAAAACATTAGCATGTCAAGGAAAATTGCCTTCCTATTGGGCAATAGGAAGGCAATTCCGACAGAAAGGGAATGATGAGAACATCAAAAAATTTATATGACAGATGTGCGACGGGTGAGAAAATTAACGACACCGACGAATAAGGGATGTGATATGACAGAATTATTAACATTTATAAAATATTTCGGTGTCACAGACGGCCGCATAAAGTTGCATATTGTTTTATTTACCTAAGTTCGTCGGCGCTAAACTGTTGACCTGTTTGATGTTTACCGTACTTTTATAGTACCGTACCGGTTTATAATTTGTCCGGTAGCTATTCGGTAACTGCCAGCTCCTAGAGTCTTCGAAGTTACTGGCAATAGCCGGTTCGAAATTCAAGAATACGAACCTGACCGTACCGTATCGATAGCTATCTGTGTAGTGTCGGATTAAGAATAGTGTCTATTCATCCTGTGGATATCGTAAGAGCCGGTTAAAGAAGCAAATTACGCAGGACAAAAGCACTGCAAAGGGAAGAAAACTTGAAACCAACCCTATACCAACCCGTCTGGCCAGCGTGGTATAGTTCACCTAAACTTCCTTTCTAAGGTCAAGAGAGGTCTATATCCAGCAGTGGACTACTAAAGGCTGTTGATGATGATTAACCTGACCAATATCTCTTTCCTTACATTCATTCCCATCTTACCAAGTTTTCCTTTCAAATAGAACTCCTAATTTCCCCTTCTCATTACACAACTATCCGATTAAGGGCAATAGTATTCCCCCCTATTACGTGAGTGCTATTAATATAATAATCAGTAAACTGTGGGTCTCTGTTGACCCTGCAACTTCTAGGTGTATATGTATGTGTGTTGTATGTTCAAGTCTGAGTCTGCGTTACATAATCTCTCAAAGTTTAGGACGACCATAATAGCGTCACAGTAAAGTCTAAAGCAAAGACACAATAGCTGTTGGGATTCCTGTACACATTCATCGTCCATAACCACTTGGCATACACCTAGATTAACAGAAAAAAAATCCAAACTATCTTTGTTTGATGGTACAGAGAGCAAAAGAGTAGACAGGTCACCCAATGTTAAGTGATCATAGCTAGCCATAGACATCTGCAATTTAAGAGTCACAAGTTTGATGCCAACGTTTGATTCCACGCCACCAGAGTCAGGTAGAGAAAGAGAAAGGGCGTCACGTAACCATACTCCCTCGGTGAAATGCAACGAAAATTTTGCTTAAGACCGGTTTTCTCTGAAGTCGAGATGTCACTCCGCTCTGGCCGACCCATATGTGACGAAACGTGGCTTTTCCATGATAAGATAAGTTATAAATTAATAATAATATAAACAAATGAATTAATAAGTATTGAAATATATTGTTAGTGTAAATTTTTATCTGGCCTCGTCACTTTGCTCGCACTAGCCTCGGATTCTAAATACAAGTGCACACTCCTAAGTGTTACTAATGGTGGAGTAACTAAGAGAGTATAGCATGCTCTAAACACCAAAATAATCCATAAGAGTTCATTTATGAGTTTATACACTGAATAATTTACCCGTGTGCTTCTATTGATAACTGGCCTCAAAGTTTAAAGAACTGTATTAAAGCCAATGGGGATCATTTTGAATGAGCTTCATATTTTTTTAATGCTGTTAAATTAATATATTAATAAAATAATAAGTAAATAATATTGTACCACATTCACACAACGCTATCTAGTCCCAAACTAAGCGGAGCTTGTACTATGGGTACTAGACAACTGATATAAATACATATATACATTTTTTTTGTTAATACATACTTGTTATACATAGAAACACCCAGACCAAATCAAACATTACATGTTCATGCACACAAATGTTTGACTTGAGCGGGAATCGAACCCGCGCCCTTTGGATAACCAACTTAAATATATAAATAACTTAAATAACTTTTAACCAACCTACATTACAATAATAATTGTTTTATCCAATAGAGTATTTTATTTCCTGGTAACAATATTTATGTAGACTAGGTAAATAAATAAAAACCAGTAAATGCCAAGGTAGAACTGAAACTATATTTGAAACATGAATATTAATTATTCTTGCAACAGTTGACTCAGACTGCTTCATAAGCGTCCCAGTGGGAGACTGGCGTCTCCAAGTTTTAATTATGTTGTCTTTACAGTTTTAATTAAATAATCTTTAAAACTAAAGATAATTTTATATTACAAATGAGGCAAAGTAACACTATGTTTGCGTGATAGTAAACGAGAAGAAATTTAGGTGTAGCAAAAGCATATCCGCCTCAAAAGAATTACCGGTAATAGTCTGTGACGCCGTGGTATCACTCCGGTCAAGCCTGACCATTTGTGCCGAAGTATGGCTCTCCAATATGAATGTTCATATTAAAGCCATATGGCTATATAGCTAAAAATGAAACATGAAATATAATGAAGCCATAAATCAATACTCGAATCGTTACTAACAAAGATAACTAATTAAATAAATATCAGCACGTCTGAAGCAAGAGCATTCTGATAAGATAAAAAGTTTTAATCCATTTTCAGGTGCCACCTTTGATAAAATCAAGTACGCGTATTTTGAAATTTTAATCCATTTATATAAATTTCTTGTGAGCTGTTAGCCGTTAAGTAATGTTGTTTTTATTCTATTTTGCATGTGTTTTGGCATTGGCAGTTGGTAAAAATGAAGAATATAAGGGGTGAGTAAATACTAGTGAGTATATAGTATACCTATAAGTGTATGAACAAGCTAAAGATAAGTATGCGACTACGGCTTTTTTTGGTGACTGAGTTGAAAATTCCTTCGGATCTCCGGGTCTTTGAGACGCAGGAGACAGGAGCAATCAATCCATTTAGGTATTCTTATCTTCCTTTTGTTTTCCAATTAGCTAGCCCCCTGTTAAGGTGTTTAATCACTGCACAGCACTACAAAGAAAAGGCAAACTTGAAACAAACCCTTTTTTTTTTTTTTTTTTTTTTTTAACGTGTGGAAATCCCCTCGGACCGTCACCCCTCCGGGGTTTGCGGCGGGGTGGTGTGTCGGACTCGGACCGACTAAAACCACACGGTGTGCCACTCTGCGCCTGTAACAGGAGGGATCCGGGAACAGCTGTTGTTAAGACATCCGGACCCCTCCTAGCGCCAGCCCGCTCCTGGTGCGGGCTCCGTCTCAATGTTTTTCCTCTCTTTATAGGCGACGTCCGGCACACGCGGACGCCGCCCCCTCGCGGCTGGCCAAACTAATGCGGGTGGAGGGGAAACCCACCCCGTCCACCCGCGGCCACACTCAGGGCGGCATGAGGCTGTGATAGGCGGGCCTCCGCCGCACGGTTCGCCGGCGGCGGATCGGGTCCGAGTGGAGGTCGTCCTCCCGGGCCCTCTCCGCCGCCACCTTCCGCGAGATTACTACCTCGCAGAAGGTTGCGACCGCGGTAAAACAACTGTCGCTACCGGCCATGGAGCGTACTACGGCCGGTAGCGAGAGATCCACTCCGATAACTGCAGTGAGGGCCCGGCTGGGCCGAGTCCTCACTGCAGTCGCAGTGGTGGCAGGCGGGACTCAGTTCCCTCCTAGCGACCGAGTGCAGGTACTTTCCGAAGCAACCGTGCCCGGAAAGCACCTGCGTCAGCCGGAAGGAAAGGGTCCCGTGCTGCCGCCCTGCCCACTCGGCGATGACCGGCTGGAGAGCCTCCACGGCGGCGAAGCCAGCGCGTGGAGTCTCCAGCCGAAACGACCAACGAGCCATCGTGGCTCGGCGAGCGGCTTCGCGCCACTCGCGCACATCCTCGGGCGGAGGGCGAAATCCGCTCTCCGCCCGGGAGTCAGCCACTCGCCGATAAACTACGGCGAGCACTTCCGCCTCCAAATCCCACGGGGGAGTTCCGGCCAACGCGCATGCCACCTCCGTCGAAACGGTGCGGTAACCGCGTATGGCTCTGACCGCCATTACCCTCTGAGGGCGCCAGAGGCGTACCCTATTCACACCGGTGCACCGTACAGTGCCATTGACCGAACAACCCCCGTGTACAGCCGTCTTATCGCGACGCTGGGTCCACCCATATTGGGCAAAAGTCGTCCTAGGGCAGACGCAGCGCCGACCAGCTTTGGAGCAAGCTGTCGGAAGTGCTCGTCGAAGAGCCACCTCCCGTCGAGGATCAGGCCCAGATATTTCATCTGGGCCCGAACCGGTACGAGGACCGAGTTGACCACGATTGAGGCGCCAGGGGGTGGACCACGACGGGGCCCATGAAATAACAGGGCCTCCGTCTTAACTAGGGCCACCCGTAAGCCCAGCGCCTCAATGCGCCCGACCACCAGGGAGACTCCCCCTGTGGCCAGGCGCGCCGCCTCTTGGAAGTTTGCCCCCCGGGCTGTCACCAGGGTATCGTCTGCGTAACAGATTACACCCAGCCCGGGGGGGAAATCGGCGCGAAGGGCCCAGTCGTACCCTATGTTCCACAAGAGGGGTCCAAGAACAGACCCCTGTGGAACACCGCACGACATGGGCCGACACCTCAGATTACCTTCTCGGTCCTCGTACACGACGGTACGCTCCTCTAAATAGTCTGCCACTAGCCGCCTCAGGTACTTTGGCACCCCATGATAGTGGAGTGCTTCCCTGATGCAGCTGAATGGCAGACTATTGAATGCGTTGGCGATGTCCAGTGACACCGCCAACAGCACGCCGCCACAGCTCACGGCCTCTTCGGTCACGGCCCTCAGGCGCAACACGGGGTCGACTGTCGAACGCCCCGCCCGAAAACCAAATTGGGCGTCCGACAGATCGGGGCCCACCTCGCAGAGGTGCCGGACGATGCGGGCAGAAAGAACCCTCTCAAACAATTTGCCCGCCTCGTCCAGCAGCACGATGGGCCTATAGGCCGCGACCGAATCGGCAGGCCGTCCCGGCTTCCTCAATAGGACCAGCTTCCCGCTCTTCCAGCACTCAGGGAAGCGTCCCGACGCCAAGCTAGCGTCGAACACCTCCCCGAGGCGGTCTGCCATGTGGTTGAGGGCCAGGGCCAGCACTCGGGCCGGTACCCCGTCTGGCCCAGGGGCGGTGTTCTTGGAACGGATCCGTAGAACAGCCGCCCCTACCTCCGAATCCCGGACGGGCGGAACATTATCCTCCCCGTGCTCCCCGTCGTCTCCGGCCAGGGAGGCCATCGACGGGGGAGTGTGTTCCGCTCGTTGTGGGAAAAGGCCCTCAACCACTTCTCGCAGGAAGCTGGGCTGGAGAGTCTCCGTAAGGGGGGGGCCCGACGCGCGGAGCTTTTGTCGCACCGCGCGGTAAGGGCGACCCCAGGGGTCACGATTAAGACCCTCCAGCATCTCCTGTCTCTTTTCTTCTTTGGCGCGGCTAATGGCCAGCTTCAGAGTTTTCCGCGCCCGTCGGTACTCCTCATGAAGCCGGTCCTCCTCACCGTCTCCACGGTGACGCCGCCGACTGCGCGTGTAGGACCTCCGGGCACGTGAACAGGCCGCACGGAGGTCCGCCAGCTCCTGGGACCACCAGTAGACCTCCTTCCTTGGAGGCCGACGACCTCGAATGCGGGGCATGGCCGCATCGCATATATGCGTAAGCGCATCGCGAAAGCGACCAGCCCCCACGTCGACCTCCTCGGTCGGAGCCTGAGGAGACAGCCACGAGTGAATTATGGCTGCCTCCTCTAGTAGGTCCCGGTTCAGTCTGGCAACAGCCCACCGCGGAAAGCGGGATAAATGCCGCGCCACGTGACCCCTACTGGAGTCCTGGGTCCGGGAGAGCTCAAATCGGATATACAGATGATCCGAGAGCGTCTCAACCTCTTCCAGAACACGCCAGTTCCTTACTCGTGCGGCGAGGGCAGGGGTAGCGAACGAAAGGTCCACTATCGACCCCCCCCTGCTGTCGCACGCACGTGTTGGTGGAGCCTCTGTTGAGAAGACAGAGGCCCACCGAGGCCGCCCACTCCTCTACGGTATCGCCCCTAGCGTCCGTCCTGGGGGAACCCCACGCAATGGACTTTGCGTTGAAGTCCCCCAGCACAAGGACGTGCCCAGACGCTAGTCGCCGTATCGAGGTCTCCAAGCTGGTTAGGAAAACCTCGAAGTCGTTCAAACTCCGGTTGGGGGAGAAATAAACACCATATATGGTGATCCCCCCCACTCGACGGCAACATATCCAGTGCCCTTGTCTCTTAGCGACAAGGGCGGGGAATGAGCCGTCGTGGAACCGACGACTGCCACGGAGCCGTCCCAGTCACCCATCCAGTTTGGACGGGGAGGGACAGAATAGGGCTCCGCGACTACGGCAACACCTATCGACCACTGTGCCATGGTTTGCAGGAAGAGATCCTGCGCCGCGGCACAGTGGTTCAGGTTCGTCTGGACCAGGAGGTTGGATACTTGATCCATTACTGGATCGTCTCTACAACCTCCTCCATGGGCGACGACGTCGACGCAATATTGACGTCGGGGGTAGCCTGGGTCGACTGGCTAGCCCCTGACGTCTGCCGAGAACTGCGGGGAGGCTTGCAGCCTCTCTGCCCCATCTGGTGATTGGCGGGCTTATTGCCCGCCGCGCACGCTGGGCAGTGAGGGGCGGCAGAGCATTCTGCCGCCTTATGCCCCGGTTGACCGCAGCGGAAACACAGTCCGCCGCAGTCGAAACAGCTATCGCACTTGACGCGCGTGTGTCCCGTGGCCAGGCATTTAAAACACCTCATCGGTCTCGCCGCCAGGACTGTGATCCTGGCGCTCACGAAGCCGATGAGCAGCCTGCCGGCGTCGGCCAATACTTTGGCCGACGCTACGGGACAGCTGACCCACACGGCGCCAAGCCCTCCTGGACCGGGGCGGATGGTGCCGACCCTGACGTTGTCCGCGCTGCACCCCGTCTTCTCCCGGATTACAGCGCGGACATCTTCGGCCGTCACTGAGTCGTCCAGGCCCGAGATGCGCAGTTCCGCGCACTTGGTAGGCCTGGCGACCTTGACACCATCTGTGGCCGCAAATATTCCCCGCAGCCTCTCAGCGAAGGAGTCCGCCGTCTTTGCGCCTTCAGCCCCAGGGAACTCGAGGACTCGAGCTCCCGTCTGGGCGAGGCGCATCCTGACCCCCACCGTCCCAAACTCGTTGGCGAGGCTGTCCCGGGCCTTTTTGAAGACGGCCGCATAGGACAGCCCGCCGTCAGCCGCCTCCGGGGACACGGTCACAACTACAGCCGCGGTTTTGGGCGGCTGCAGCTTCCGCGGCCTCTTTGCAGAGGCCGTTGCCACCGGTGGCGAAGGCTGGGCTTGGGCTGCTTTTTGGGCAGCCCTTTTGGCCCGCCTTCGGGACTTCTTGGAGCCCCTCGCCTCCTGCCAACCCTCGTTGGAGGGGGCAGGTGCGGAGGGGCCCGGCAGGGGTGTCGGAGTGGGGAGCGGAGGGAATGCCACTCCGCTCCTCGGCGCTGTTTTAGGCCCCGTCTTGGCCGGCGCCTGGGGATGTGCCTTGGTCGGCGCCTTAGCCGGTGCCTTGGCCGGCGCCAGGGCCGGTGCCTTGGCCCCCCTCCTCGGCTTTTGGGGAGCCGATGGAGTAGGGGCAGACGCCGCCGCCGCCGCGTAGGAAACGCGGCCTCCCACCACGGGGAGCGCGGTCGGAGCGGCGGCCTTAGGCCGCTGTACTGACGCAGATCACAATCGGCGCAGGGGGCAGTCTCGCCTCCAGGCCAGCCAG